ACCGATCTGGGCCGAGAATGGTACAAACCTGAATAACTCTAATCTCATCCAGCGTGGGAATCAAAGATTATCATTATGTACGTTATTCTTACTAATTCCCAGAGATCAAGAAAGAGAAGGCATTTATTATTGTGTTTAAAAGGGTGTCGAGTATCGGGGCCTGGGTGAGAAGAAAAGCCTATCAGATCCCAGAGTACTAGTGACAACAATGTCTGGTAAACTTGGAAATACTCTTTCACATGCTTTCCCTTATCATAATCTTGATACTACTTTGTGAAAGAAAACTTTCAATTCATTTATAAACACATACCAGCATAAGGTAAAATACCTAAGACGTTCCAAATAAGGATGTACTAATGTTACCTTATTGAATAATGCACCTCCTTTCCCAAAAGAGTTTTTCACCAGTGAACGTGACGATAAGATTTACACAACTAATGCAAATCGAATTTGAAACAGTAGCTTACTATTGCGACTTAAACCAAATCTTATGTCTAATATTCATTTTGTATGTGCATGTCACATTGGTCATAGAAGGATATTACATTAAAAGCCATATTGTTAAAAGTTAAATACAAACTCATTTTGCTATGATATTAATCGACTATATTCTCTACATTTGAGCTGAAGACTAACAGCCATTCTCGTTAATTCAAAAATGATTTTAAGATGTAACCTGCATGCCACATTTTATTTAGTTCGAATAGTGGCACTGTTCAGAATATACACATGTATTGTTCTAAAACTATCTGATATATGAAAAATATTTATTTCAAAATTTGTTTGAATATGGGGCTGCAATTTTTCTTTCGATTTTTCTTAGTCGCCTCGTAAGCTTTAGAATATAGGCCTTCATCATCACTGACGAGTCTTGGAAGGACGAAACAGCCGTATGATGTAGCATCACTGACGAGTCCTGGAAGGACGAAACAGCTGTATGATGAGGTATCACTGACGAGTCATGGAACGACGAAACAGCTGTATGATGATGCATCACTGACGAGTCCTGGAACGACGAAACAGCTGTATGATGAAGCATCACTGACGAGTCCTGGAAGGACGAAACAGCTGTATGATGATGCATCACTGACGAGTCCTAGAAAGATGACAGAGAAGGACGAAACAGCTGTATGATGATGCATCACTGACGAGTCCTGGAAGGACGAAACAGCTGTATGATGAATCATCACTGACGAGTCCTAGAAAGACGACAAAGCTGTATGATGTACATCATTGACGAGTCCTAGAAGGACGAAACAGCTGTATGATGTAGCTTTACTGACGAGTCCTAGAAAGACGACAGAGATGTATGATGAAGCATCACTGACGAGTCCTAGAAGGACGAAACAGCTTGTTTGTGTCAACTTCATCCACTTTTACGTTGTATTAAAAGTTACTGTTCAGTTGTTTGTCTTTTATACAATCTTCGAAGTCTAAATCCCCGTCAACAAAAAACCTTGCGTTTTAATGAAAGATGGGGAAAATTTATGCTGCGATATACTAATACAAAAGAATATTCACATTTAACCAAATGAAAAAATCATTTTCGTCAAAAGTTAGTTAATTATTCAATACAAAATAACTTAAATTGAAATTGAGAAAGTTATTGCACTATAAGTACGTACATGATGTTAAGTAAAAAGCCGGCAATGCAACAAGTGTTAATTGGTTTCGTCTCTAGCTTTACATGTACAATCAATGATTATCGATAGGATTTCTACGAATCAAATAAATTGCATCGCATCCTCAGTTCAGCAAAGAAAATCTAGGCTTTCTTGCTAAAGCCATAATAGAAAGGTGGGACCTTTTAAAAAAAAATTAATCGAGTCTATTTGAATTTTTTTCCGTCTGGGAATTGAGGGGTTCACATATTATCAGGTCAGGTAGGAGGGCCAGAGTACAGTAGTTATGAATGAGGTTTTTATTAGAAGAAGAAAGTATGTTATGAAGGAATTGGAGTACTAATCCATGAACCAGTTTATGAAACAATCTGAGAAATTAATTCATTAATGAAAGGAAGGTATTGGAGTGGTAAATTAAGAACTGTATTTTAATCAGATTGTTTTTGAAAGTGAATATTTTTCATGTATTTGGCGTCTTTGTTTGAGGGACAGTCCATTTCAGTGTAAAGTTTATCGCTACTAAACATGTTTTTGGCGTCTTTGCTTGAGGGACAGTCCATTTCAGTGTAGTTTATCGCTACTAAACATGTTTTTGGCGTCTTTGCTTGAGGGACAGTCCATTTCAGTGTAGTTTATCGCTACTAAACATGTTTTTGGCGTCTTTGCTTGAGGGACACTAAACATGTTTTTGGCGTCTTTGCTTGAGGGACAGTCCATTTCAGTGTAAAGTGTATCGCTACTAAACATGTTTTTGGCGTCTTTGCTTGTCTTTGCTTGAGGGACAGTCCATTTCAGTGTAAAGTTTATCGCTACTAAACATGTTTTTGGCGTCTTTGCTTGAGGGACAGTCCATTTCAGTGTACAGGTTATCGCTATTAAACATGTTTTTGGCGTCTTTGCTTGAGGGACAGTCCATTTCAGTGTAAAGTTTATCGCTACTAAACATGTTTTTGGCGTCTTTGCTTGAGGGACAGTCCATTTCAGTGTAAAGTTTATCGCTACTAAACATGTTTTTGGCGTCTTTGCTTGAGGGACAGTCCATTTCAGTGTAAAGTTTATCGCTACTAAACATGTTTTTGGCGTCTTTGCTTGAGGGACAGTCCATTTCAGTGTAAAGTTTATCGCTACAAAACATGTTTTTGGCGACTTTGCTAGAGGGACAGTCCATTTCAGTGTAAAGTTTATTTCTACTAAACGTCTTTGCTTGAGGGACAGTCCATTTCAGTTACAGGTTATTAAACATGTTTTTGGCGTCTTTGCTTGAGGGACAGTCCATTTCAGTGTAAAGTTTATCGCTACTAAACATGTTTTTGGCGTCTTTGCTTGAGGGACAGTCCATTTCAGTGTAAAGTTTATCGCTACTAAACATGTTTTTGTAGTTTATCGTCTTTGCTTGAGGGACAGTCCATTTCAGTGTAAAGTGTATCGCTACTAAACATGTATTTGGCGTCTTTGCTTGAGGGACAGTCCATTTCAGTGTACAGGTTATCGCTACTAAACATGTTTTTGGCGTCTTTGCTTGAGGGACAGTCCATTTCAGTGTAAAGTTTATCGCTACTAAACATGTTTTTGGCGTCTTTGCTTGAGGGACAGTCCATTTCAGTGTACAGGTTATCGCTACTAAACATGTTTTTGGCGTCTTTGCTTGAGGGACAGTCCATTTCAGTGTAAAGTCTATCGCTACTAAACATGTTTTTGGCTACTAAACATGTCTTTGCTTGAGGGACAGTCCATTTCAGTGTACAAGTTTATTTCTACTAAACATGAGGGACAGTCCATTTCAGTGTAAAGTTTATCGCTACTAAACATGTTTTTGGCGTCTTTGCTTGAGGGACAGTCCATTTCAGTGTACAGGTTATCGCTACTAAACATGTTTTTGGCGTCTTTGCTTGAGGGACAGTCCATTTCAGTGTAAAGTGTATCGCTACTAAACGGTGTAATGCTAAATAATGTCTTCCAGTAACGATGGCGATGGTTGATCGTCTCCATGACTCTGCCCATCGCCAGGCATTGCCCAATCAACATGAGTCGATTCTATGGTGACGTGAGGGTGGGGGTGGTGTGTGTGTGTGCTTCCTTCATTTGCTGGAGTCGTCTGGGGATTGACTGGTATGTAATTTGGAGGCGACTCCCTGGTCTAATGGTAGATCTTGTTGAGATGTGTCTGGACTTCTGGTGGTGGAGGGGGTCTTTGTCTTCTTTTCCTGCCGAATATCCAGACTGTCTTTCTATGATTTCTAATTTTTAGATTAGGGGAAATTTATAAGTCCTTTCCTAATAGCGAAAAAAAGAGACACAGGGGCCACATGTTGTGTTTAATTCGGGGCTATTCGGGCTCCTGGGCGGCATTAAGCGCCTACTCTTGTTATCGATAACTACAGGAAGATCTTTTTCGTGCGAAGTTAGATAATTCTCACACAGGTGTACGTCTTCCAATAGGTCGGACTGGGATTTTATATCAACACTCAATTCTGGAAACAAGTATACCGAGATGTTTGTCAGGAGGATGGACGGACTGACAGTTTTCAGGTTTATTAATAGCGTTTCAGATTTGTTAGGATTAAATTCGACCAACCATTTCATTGACCATAATATCCTTTATCCAGTAACTTCAATTGTGGCTGAAATGTTATTTTCTAACTTTCTTGATCTGCTTGAAATCCTGAAAGGCATTTTCAAAAAGTCTGATTTTGGTAGATTTTCTCCTGCTGCAGTATAGGTACCACGACATACATATGTTGATATAATCTCGTATTGTGTCCCGCTTTGGGTTGTATTTTGAGTAAATTGATTGGACCAGTTAAGATAGACTGGAACATGGGTAAAATAGAAAGTCTTCTTCACAAGAACTACAAATGTCAGTCGAACTGAAATTGTCTCATAGTTCTAAGCTCCATATGGAGCTTTGCAAAATTGTCACTGTGAATCCATACCTGTTCTGTCCAGTCTAATCTATCAATTTATAAACGTGTTAATTGCACGCATTTTACCTCGGTGTTGTGTAATGGTTAACTTATTTCAAGCATATAGGCCTGATTACTTTGTACTTGAAGAGTTTGCAAGTGTCCCCCCCCCCACCCCTCCCCCCTACCCCTTCGTCTTGTCACCTAATTCATACTTAGTTTGGCAATTGATTATCACTGGTTTCCGTGTCCGTTATCGGCTCTATACTACAATTTTAGTTTGTACTTGTCTGCGTTAGCAGAGCGTTTGAACGAAAGACTTCTTATCAAAGCATTTTACAAACGTCGAACTCGGAAGTGAATTAATTATCTATTTTTAGAAAAGACAACATTCTATAAATAACTTACCTCGTATAAAAGGTAGAATAATCATTAGGTCATACATAAATACATAGACTTTCAGCCTATAAGGGGGAATCCAACAATTTCAGTTAGCACAAAAAGTATGGTAAGTAATCACTCACTTGTATCGTTTAATTATGCCCGGTGTTAACTATTATTAAAAAACGGTGTTCAGGTGTTTGCACTCTGACTAGACAACCTGGCGTTTAAACATTTATGTCAATCTATTCTAACCATAGGACTTCACTTTATGATTGTAGGTGATATAGCGTAGGTATATCATGTATTTTACGTATCACAAATCTTATATAAGTTAATGGAAAAAAAAGAAAGATAACTTTTCCTCTTTTTGTCAACCTTGGGTTCAAAGTCTTTCTGTACTGAGAAAAGCAGGGAATGGTGAGGAGTGTTGTAGCAAAGTTATTTTTTATCAATAGAACTTACCTATTGGACACAATTTGTGTGTTTGTTGACAATATGCATAGAAATTTACATCAAAATTTATCATTCAGAATATCTGACCAGAAGCATCTCTGATGACCTGTTGGTGAACTTGTTGAAAATGGTGAAGACTCTACATGATATGTGCTTGAACTGTGTCCAGAACCGCTTGGACAAAATACCAGATGTTGGACGACGTCTTCCAAACATACACAAAGAAATCCTACTTGAGAGACTGGTGAATCATGACATCCTTACTGAGTGTTACTTCAAGTCAGTACAGAAATATTTGTTTGTGAAAAATCTTAGACATGTGACTCTATACAAAAGCAATCAACTTACTGATGCCATGTTAAAGACACTGGGAGAACAATGTCCAAACATTCATCAGCTCACCATACATATGTGTACCAATATTACAGGTAAGTCTAGAAATATATATCAGGTGTGTATTCCACAAGTTGTATGTGTTCCTACACACAACCTCAAATGGGGATTTGGGGTCTTTTATTACAGGATGAACAATCAGACAGCATTTATTGGCATTACTTTTTTATATGAACTACCGTTGGTATGATAGAAATGGATGAACTTATTAACAGGTGTAGGCTTAATACATTGGTCTCCAAACCATCAATATTGGTCAACAAATCATCCAGCTGAGAAAAACTTGCTGTATGTAATTAAATGATTTGTTGATACTTCTGCTTCACAGACGTTGGCATCAGGGCTGTAACAAAGACCCAGAAAGAGTTGGTTGTTCTCAAGCTGAGGAAGCTGGCAGCCTTTACTGGGAAAGGTCTAGATCCTCTCAAGTCTCCCAAATTACAGACTCTAGACCTCCGTGGCTGCAATGCTTTAACTAATGAAGGTTAGTATTAGCCTGTATTTCTACAGTAAATATAATTTATTGACTACACTATGTTAATTTGATAAAAATATACATGGATTTTGAAGATGCAACTTTATATAAATTTCAAGAACAAAGGCCTGCTTCATGTACCTTTTTATTAAGTTTGGAATTCTCTGTACAATGTTTCAATCATTAAGTGCATGGCCCAGTTTACAAATGTTTCAGGATCTAGAAAGCTGACTATTTAAAATTTCATATGAGATTTTAACCTGAGAAAATCTTGAGTAATAATTGTGGAAATAAAATGAAAATGTAACAAAGGATATGGAAAGAAAGATTTTCATTGATATATCATTTGATTTGAAGTTTGAAGAAAGCATACATACATAAACCATGTGTTGTAGGGTTGCTAGACAGTATCATAATGTTTGCTGCCATATTTGATTTGTAGGTATGGTGTAGAACTAAAAGGTAAAATTTGTTTACTCTCTATTTCAGCTGTTGAGACAGTGACCAGAAACAACCCTACCATTTCTTGTCTAATAATTGATGACTGTGGCCAGCTTTCTGCTAACGTGTTTGCCTCAATAGCACAGACACTTAAATACAATCTGGTAGGACATTTTTTTCTATTATTATACCCTCTACTTAGGTAAGGTGGGGGGTCGGGGTTGTGTCTAAGGTAACCACTTTGTGTGATTTTGCACTTTGCATCTGTGTGTGCATCCATGATAATTTGTGTTCAAGATATCTCATGAACCTCTGAACAGATCTGGTTCACATCAGTACCATAGCATCATAACACTAAGACCTTCACCTGATTAGATTTTGGTTGTCATTGGTTAAGGTTAAAGGTCAAAGGTAACCATCGATACCTTAGAAAATAAAAAGCTTAAGTACAAGATATCTCATAAACCCTGGAATAGATTTGGTTCATATTCACACCATAGCTTTAAGCAGCCAAAGTCCACACCAAATTAGATTTTTGTAGTCAAGGTCAAAAGTTTGGTTTATATTTGGTATGGTTTATTGTTGCTTCACATCCCATTAACAGCCAGGGCCATTTAAGGATGTGCCAGGTTGGGGTGGTGGAGGAAAGCCAAGTTCCAATGAAAATACCACCTACCTTCCATCAGTACCTGGTGACTGCCCCATGAAGGTCTTGAACCTGTGACCCAGAGGTAGAATACCCTCGGGTAGTAGCGATAAAGACGGTCCAACACCTTAAAAACATAAAGTCAAAGGTCAAAAGTCATCCTCAACAACTTTGAAAATAAAAAACTTGTGTACATCAGATGTACCCTGTATATGATTAAATACATACAAGAAATACATAGAAAATTAAAGAGCCACTTCCTTATTTGTGTGAGGAATCAAATTTTTGGAAAGACCACGTAAAGGATATAATTGTGATAATTACTGTTGTGTGTCACTTGCTAAGTCTCTTAAAACCTAGAATTGTATTACTGGTACTTTGTCCATGGCCTGTTGGTGTAAGTTGCTTCAATTTTCATTTTTTCTTTTGTTTTATAGGAAGAACTTGATGGATGTCCACGGCCAATGACAAATGAAAATGTCACTGCTCTAGCTAGATATTGTCCTAACCTGAAAAGGTAACAATGACATGTAATATGTAAAGAGTTAAATGTGGATTTCTCTTTGTTAATCTTTGTTTATAGTGAATCATTAATAGATGAAGCATCAGTGACATGGACTTGTAGGGAATTTGTTGTAGGTGGTGTGGTGACTAACTTCAGTTTATTAGCTCAGTCTGATTGAATCAGCTTCACTCCTTCAGGGATTTTTATCAAATTTCACCCACTTTCAAAACATTTTAAATACCTTGCTCAAATTTGAGTTTCAAGGTTGTTGGGTCAAGGTCAAGATCACTTACTATTTTGAGAAAATCATTTTCAGTGGTCTTCTGCCTTCACATCTTACAGGATTTTGATCACACCTCCACACTTAGAAATGACCTGAACACATTATCACTTATCAGTGATGAAACTGCTTTGTCAGATGGTAATACTTATTTGTTGCAATGTTCTCTTAAAACTGGTTATAATTTGGTTGTATACTTCCCATTTTTCCCCCAATGAACACCAAACAGCACCATCTCTATAAATCATTACATTGTAATAGCTTCTGGGGAACATGTATCACTTTAGTAGTTATCAGTATGCTTGTTCAAATCTTTTGATTATAATTTTATATCAGATGTCTGATATTAAGATAGAAACCCAATATTTGTAAAGGTTCCGTCTCCTGATCAGAAATCAAAGATACAAGTAAAATTTTGACATGCAGAATAGATGTGTCTAATCATCATTAACCTTTCCAAATACATTTTACACTGTTTTGAAATTCAGGAAAGGAAGATAAGATCTTGACATTGATACTGATAGTATTTTGAAATCTTAATTTTACAGCTGCTGATACCTTCTGAAATTGGGAAATTATAGCAAAATATACTGCAAAATTCAGAAGGTGGTTTTGATTTTTTTCATCTTTTTGGGAAAATAATGATTTTGGTTAGAGGAAACAACCTATTTTTGCTGCTAAGATAAAGATTGAAAAAAGATTCAAAATTTATTTTGCTTTGCTAAAAGAAAATAAATGAGTATTTGTGCCATTTAAAATAGTCTTGTAATATTGATAAATACAAACAATGAATGTAGATAATAGATATTACATATATTTATATTTCTCACAAAAGAATACTTACCTGATAGGTATTAAATCAAGAGTACATATCACCCCTGGAAAGGAAATCTACTTATGTATAAATTTTGACTATTTTCTGTTTTTACTTGGAATTCATATACTTCATTTGTTTAAAGATTTTGATTTGTATACTTCAATTTCATTTCAGCTTAAATCTTCTTGGCAGTTCTAAGTTAACAGGAAATGCATTACTTGAGGTAAACATTTACTAATCATGAAGTTTTAAAAACAGATTGCATTTACAAATATTTTTGTAAACATGACAATATATTACTTCAACGGAAGACCAAATATTAAGAAATTGATACCACAATTAAAATTTGCTTTGTTTTTATTAGACTATGATTTTAATTAAATTAAAAAGTTTTTCTATTTTCAGTTAACTTCATGAATGTAATTTGCATCTTTTTTGGAACTCAATGAAAACATAAATAATTTTCATTAGCTGAAAAATACAAGTTCCAAACTAAGGTTTTAAAATGTGGTTTAACTAATTAAGGGATAATGGTCAGTTACACTGCAAGGCTCATACTGTTCTGTCAGTGTTCTAGCTGTATCAAATGATTAAGTACATGCGTGCTACCAGATACTTGAATATATATTGATAGCAGTTCTACCAGTTGTTTTCGTGTTTAAGGCTTTGGTACATGTATAATAACCGGTACTGTACTTATGTACTTAACAGCTATCCCAGGGATGTATCCGGATGGAATCTCTCGACCTCTCTTACTGTTATGGCTTACAAGAATCTCCAGACAATGAGTTCCTCTGGACACTGCCTACCTCCCTCACTAATCTCTCTCTGTGTGGGGTCATGCTGTCAGATGAAGCTTTGCTTGTGGAAACTTTACAACGGTTGAAGCGTCTTAAGTCAGTCCGACTATGTGGTATTCCTGCCCTCAATGATAAAACACTTCCAAAGGTACATCTGAAACAAATATACATGTTTACATTTAAAAAGTTTGACATTTTGAGAAAAAATGTGACTATTTGTATATTTAATTGATATGTTTTCCTTGTCGAGGGAACAGTAATGATGAGGTTGTCTAACTAAGATAATTTTAGGTAAAGTTCTTAGCATCAAGCATGTACTTGAAAAATTATCTTGAAGTGAAATCATATACATCAGGTGAATGAATTTCTATCCTACTCAAACAGAGGTCATACATATTTCAAATAGTAATAGATTTACACATTACTTCCTACCTGAGCTAGAGAAAGGGGCTTTTGTATACTATAATTACAAGTAATTTTTTCTGCCATTGACAAAGACCATATTATTCTGTGATATAACCTGTGTAAGCATTGATTTTATCTGGTTTGATATAGATTCTGCAGCATCTAGGAGGAAACCTGGAGATGATAGATATCAGTGGTTCACGAACCCTAACAGACGAGGGACTGGCAGCTGTAGCTACATACTGTACAAGTCTGAGGGAGCTTGACCTTAGTATCTGTAAAATGTTGAGTGGTCATACACTGTTACCCCTTCTACGTGACACAGAGAGAGCGCCACTTCTTAGAAAGGCTTTCTTTAGTGTTCAAAAGGTAAATTAACTCACAGAAATATGTAAAGATTTTGTTTTCAAATACTCTTAAGGCATTTTTACAAGTAAAGTAAAAAGTTTGCATACCAACAGCTGGTGAATTTCTTTCTGAAATATTAACTTGGTAATGTATAAAAATAGACATACTTCAAAGTTTGATAATTTCTCATAATCATCAAAAGTTGTTTGATTAAAAGTGATTGTTTTAGGTATTACACAAAAAGCGAAATGGAAAATTTCTTTACTTAATCAGGAAAATGTTGAAATTTTTGGCTCAAGAGAGTATGATAGAAATTTTTACACAAGAGAGTATGATAGAAATTTTTACACAAGAGGGTATGATAGAAATTTTTACACAAGAGGGTATGATAGAAATTTTTACACAAGAGGGTATGATAGAAATTTTTACACAAGAGGGTATGATAGAAATTTTTACACAAGAGAGTATGATAGAAATTTTTACACAAGAGAGTATGATAGAAATTTTTACACAAGAGAGTATGATAGAAATGAAACTGTAGATAACAATAATGGATGTCACAATTCATAACTACAATGTTGTTTGGTTGTTAGATAGAGGAGGAGGTTTTGATGGCTGTCGTAGAAAACTGTCACAATCTGGAAAAATTTGACGCAGCAGGCATGGAGACTTTGTCAGACCAAATGTTGATTACAATGGCCGTAAACTGTCCTCGGCTGATGCACATCGGAATTAAAGGCTGTAAACAGGTACAGACAACCCCTGTTGACTTACATTAAATGTGGATAATTATCTTGTTTATGAAAATGACTCTACTTTTGTCAGGATATATGCAAATTAAAAACAGCAATCATTTACTTGCTGAAAAGTGTAGCTTTTGATATTCTCTTTTTGAAGACAAAAACATATACCTTCAACTTTAGAATGATTCGAAGCTATATAGTGCAGTGGTTTGATTGTAACTGTGAAATTGGAAAAATGAAATCTGAAGATCAGTGCTGTTGACAATTAATATATCATCTCATCCTCAATATTCGAAGGGTAACACTCACTATCATTCTCTGCACTCCTGGAACATGTTGTGGCAAAATTGAAGGCACAAGCAAAGTAATATGATTGAAAATGGGTTCCAGGTGGAAAAAAAATTGACGAATCACAAGCTAATGTGCTCATTTGAAGATTACAAAGGAGCGACACCCAACTTCATAATGATTAAAACAGATCGTTATGTAGTGCCATTGTCCACCATTCTTTAGTCTTTCCCTTAGTTCAAAAGTACACAAATAACATTTACATTGTAGATATGTAATTTTGGGGATTTATTTCACTTTTCTTAAATTTCAGACTTATTTACAGCTTTATAGAGCCATGGAGTTCTGTTTATCATTATTGATAAATCTCTGTTTAGGTGACAGATGCTGGGGTATGTGAGATAGCTAGACACTGTCCTCTGAAGTATGTGGTGTTGTCTGGGATACAGGCTATAACGGACAAAACAGTATTTACTGTGTCAAACCACTGTCATAACCTGGAGGAAATCTATCTCAATGGCTGCTTGAATGTGTCCCCAACAACAGTCAATTATCTAGTTGTAAGTATATTATTATTTTCCTTACATCTTCATCAACTCTCTCACAAAACTATCACTTTTTTTCACCATAAAACTTAATGCATGTACTTCACTGCAAAAATTAATTAGTTTTGTTTGCTTGTTGATATTCTCCTATTGTTTCTGCAAAAGTTCCTTCACGTTTTTTTTATAAATGTACATTATTTGAACCACAAGTATTTTCAGAAAATACAAGTAGCTGAAGTAGAAATGTTTGGCAGTTTTCATATCACAGAATACTATTATCGTTACATAGTATTGCCCTTTGTTGTCATTACATGGCATCATGTGCATATTTTGTTTCGGTCAACTATTTTTCCAGAGTTATGGCCCTTGAACTGAGAAAATTGCAAGAAGTTATGTTTCTGCTCATTTTCTCAGGGCATTCACAGACACATCTAGTTAATATATCTGTCTAGAAATTCCTACTAAGTAGACAAAAAATTTGGATGTGGAACCTCTCAATGTTTATATCTATTCTTGAATCAAACTAAAGTTTCTGTGTTAAAAACCCTTTACACTAGAAGAATAAATGAACTGTACATCTATATAGATCCGTGTGTATTTTGTTTATCCAGGCTTATCTTGATTTGCAGGTTATTGGTAGCAAGTTCTCTTTGATCAAAATTAACTTCTGATTAAATCAGATATAGCATGTTCATTAATAACTTAACATGTTATAGACGTTCCATTCAAAATAGAAAGTGCTTAGGTTATTCTATATGATCTGTTTAAATGAATTGTCACAAAAAAGTCATTCAACCCATCCCAATGAGAAATACTTGGAGAATCATGAAGTCAGTTAGAAAATTTTAAAGATACAATAAAAATTTTGATTAAGATATTTATCGTTTAAGATTATTCAGTTATTGATGATTTGCAGGACAGCTGTTTACCAAGAGTGTACGTCCAGCACAAGACACCTAACCTTGTGTCTGACCACATTATGGGCAAGAATATAGACACAGGAGAGTTCTGCAGGATGGACCTGATGCAGGATGGTGGAGGTGCCAGGTAGTCATTTGATCAGTACTCGTACAGAATATTGACACCGGGTTGTTGTAAAGGAGGATGTTGGAGGTGCCACTTAGTCATTTGATCAGTACTCGTACAGAATATTGACACCGGGGTGTTGTAAAGGGAGGATGTTGGAGGTGCCACATAGTCATTTGATCAGTACTCGTACAGAATATTGACACTGGGGTGTTGTAAAGGAGGATGTTGGAGGTGCCACATAGTCATTTGATCAGTACTCGTACAGAATATTGACACCGGGGTGTTGTAAAGGAGGATGTTGGAGGTGCCACATAGTCATTTGATCAATTTTCGTACAGAATATTGACACCGGGGTGTTGTAAAGGAGGATGTTGGAGGTGCCACATAAGTCATTTGATCAGTATTCGTACAGAATATTGACACCGGGGTGTTGTAAAGGAGGATGTTGGAGGTGTCAGAAACCCATTTTATCCAGATTCATACAGAACTTTGTGTTTTAGAATGGACTTGAGTGTGTTAAATCAGTCATCAAATGATACATTATATGCCAAAAATTATTACAAGTCACAAATTATGAATTTAATCAAAAGTGCATTATAATTAACACTTGTACTTTAGCAGACACCAGGACAACAGCTTTACCTAGTATTTGAGCCATTATGAATTAGCACATTAGAAACACTAATAGTAGATACGAATTCAAAACTGACTATAAATGCCACCAAATGGAGTTAAAAAGTGGCCTTTATACAGAGGTTGATATATTATAATTTGAACTGCACTGTTCCTTAAACTAATGGCCATTATAGGCAGATGTTTGTGTATTCAGTTGGCCTTTAAACCAGATGTGAATGTATTTTGTAAGTTTATAATCAATTTTGAGCTTAAGGTTGAACAAACTGAATGAACACTTTGAGAAGTAATTTTTCATATAATCCTATATTAAGTTTTCTACAATGATAGTAACCAGGGTTCGAAATTAACTATATACAACTAGCAAAATGCCAGCTAAAATCTGATAATTGCTAGCTGGAAAATGATGAAGTAGCAAAATTTTGCGAGTGGAAATGAAATAATCTGCCACAAAATGCCTTTCTCCGTCTGCCTTTAAATGAGTAAATAGGTTACAAACGCTAAAGTGACATAGATTATCAATACATTCGGAATTCCTCCAGTTTTTCCTTTGATAGTTATGTGTAAACCGAATAAAAAGTTGTCTTGGAAAACCCTACGATTTCTGTCTGCTCATCATGTGAAACGCGACATATCAGCTATGATAACGAACTTTTCAAAAGGAAAGCATCTGACAGTGCTTGCGATGACCACGACAATAGTCAACAGCCAGAGCCTGGCCCTTCTGAAAAAAAAATCGTCGAAATCGGGGCACGTTTCTCTTGACGCTGCTGATATAAAATCACTGCCAAAACCACGTGCATATACGGCAGCTGTCAATAGGTGGTGGGTTGAGGGACAAAGAAAGAAACGACCCACCTTCTGCCAGTAGTGTATTTGACTTAGAATGGAGTGGAATGATCTTTGGGGAAATTAAAAGAACTGAATTGCATGGCATTGGTAAATAAAATACAACAAAGTCCAGAACTCTGTTAAATAGTTGTCTTCATAATAATTTAAAAGTCCAGAACTCTGTCAAACAGTTGTCTTCATAATAATTTATTGAAATGATCGATAATGTGAACAATTTGTTAAATAATATAAATTTGGGTACAGTTACATTAATAAATGGATCTGATCATATGAGAGTCAGATTAGATGTAGCTCATACATGAAAAAAAGAAAACTGATTAAGTCAAAGTTTATATAGATTTAAAATATTGATACAGGTAGCAATCAGCCATTCTTATCCAATGTCTTGGATATCTTTTCCAATATCACTCAGTTCCTGAAAAACTCAATATATCAGTAAATAAAAGTTAAACTTATTCACAAAAAAATTGCTAGTTCATCATTTTTGCTATTGGAAATTTTAGGCACTAGCAATGGTTTTCTAGTGACTAAAAAAGTTAATTTCGACCCCTGGTAACTTATCAGAACTTCCCATGATTATGTCATTTGACAAAGTGTCAACCAAGAATGTATAATGCATACATCTCAGATATGGTGACCATTTATACAGTATAAACTATATTATGGGGAGGATAAAGAAAGACAAACGGGGCTAGACTACAATATTTACCATGCAACATTTATTGAAAATCTTCACTTTAGAATTTTCATCATTTTGTTGTTTTAGATGTGTTCACCCAATATTCACTTAATCTGAATGAGGCCTGAATATGTAATATTGATGCAATTAAGAAAGTAATTGCATGAGTTTTGTGCACATGTTAAGATAAAGCTTCAAAATGGAGCAAAAGTATGTATGGCAGATGTATTTCAACTAAGGGAGTGCTAGTTGTAGTACACATTGCTATAGTCGACAGTATGGCACTATAGATTACAACTGAGTAACAGATGCATTAATGCAGTGTTTACAATCTCTAACATATCTGGTCATAGCACTTGAAAATCAATGGTGACATGGTGTCTTAAAGGCTCATCCAGGCGAGTGGGCATATAATCCCTTCTGTTGTATTGTTATCATGTCTGTATGTATGTAGATGATGTTCTATGTTATGTTTGATCATTATTTTTCCCATATGAAAACCAAAACCTGATTTTGAATTTTTCAAATACTGAACAAATTCAAGAAATATCAGGTGATTTTCTAAGATGGAAGGAGTTCATTCCAGGTGGACCTGACAGTAATCAGGTGATCTGGAGTCGCGGTTCATTATGTTACCACTTTATTATAAACAATCAAATCATTTATTCAATTATTATGTACACTTAAAATTGTTTTTAAGGTTGAACCTTTGAAATTTTGTTATGAAAAAGCAGCAAAATATTGTTGATACAGCTATAACAAACGAACCAAGTATTGGCATTATAAAGGAGTGGGTGATATACAGATGGCATTACATACAGAGTTGTTGTGAGAAAAAGGAACCAGAATATTGATCAATGAGATATAACATATTGAAGTTTGATATATTTCCCATTACCATTTTTAAAAATAATGATCTATTTATATACCCGGTAATGTAATATATATTGTCATGACGCTCAATTTTTTTTATCAAAAATATTAATTTTTGATTGTGCATGATTTTGTGGAAATCTCTCAAAAACCACTAACTCGCCTCAATTTCCAATTGATCGTCACATTTTGGACTCATGAATTTGTGAATTAAAGACAAAATGAACAAAATTAAACCCCTCAAGAAATTACATGTGATGATTTTTAGCTCACCTGGTTGGAGGGACTGGTGAGCTTATGCCATGATGCAGCTTCCATTGTCTTTCCACTTTTTTTTTTTTTTTATTAAAACTGCTACTAGTAAGATAGACTGCATAGAATTTGGCCAAATTTGATAAGAAGCATCCTTGAGGAAAAAGAAACCAAGTTTGTATAAATATTTGTTCTTAAACCCCCAGGGCCTTGAGAGGTGGGGCCCAAATAGGGTAATTTAGCTAGTTCATTAAATTCCATCTTCTCTGAAAATGATTGAATTTTGTCCCAATTTGGTTTGAAGCATTCTTTGATGAAGGGAAATCAGTGTTGTATAAATGGTGAGCCTCAACCTGTGGGGCAGTAGGAATGGGGCCCAAGAGGGGAAATAGAGAATTGTGTTTTAAAAATTCTTTCTTTTTACCATAGATATCAGGATTCTGGTCTGAAGCATTCTTTGGTGAAAGGGAATCAATTTTGTATAGATGGTGGGTTGGGGCTCTCTTGGATGGGGCTGAATAGCAAATATTCTCTTAAATTCTGTCACGATTACATCTGAAGCTTATGTAGATGAAAGGAACCTAATTTTGTATCAACTAGGAGATGTTGGGACCAATAGGAGAAATGTAAGATCTTATAAAACCTTCTCTGTTCAGTTTGGTCTGAAGTAATTTTTAAGAATGGTGAATCTGAATTCAAGGCCAGGGTCAAATAGGAAAATCATTTCAGAAATTATTTATTATATTTGAAAGTGTTGCTCAATGACAGTATAGCTGAATTATCCAGGTGAGCGATGCAGACCGCTTTGGCCTCTTGCTCAGTACACATTTGTACAACTGTATTGTTAATGTAATGTGAAATATATATCCTAAAACATTTGTATATAAACGTTATTTATTTTACACCAACTGCAAAACAAGCTATCAACTTATATTAATCACTCTTGTTGGTCCATGTGGAAGCATGTGAGGGGTTTAATGTTGGAAGAAACCAGAGTTCCAGGAGAAACCCTATATAGTCAGGCAGGTAACCCCACGCCTTATTACGTCCACTTAGGAAATCAGATCCTTAGTGAATGGTGAGTGTGTTTCACTGTGCCACCTGACCACCCGTATATATAAATAAATATAGACATTTGATATTTGTCAATATTTTGCTCAAATTGGAAATTGGTAATTAGGCCTAATGGTTGCTAAAATATTGAGTACAGTTGAATAGGTCTTTGTAGAACATGTTTGAATTTCAGATGAATTTACGTTATGATTTGTGATTATTTTTTAGTCTACCATCATCAGATGTTGGGCTATTCGATTCATCCTCTGTCTGTGTCTGTCGTTCGTTCGTCTGTCGTCTATTCGTAAACACTTTTCCTTTGTGCTTGTTTGATTTTAAGACTGATTAGAAAAAAAGGCGGGCAGGCAGCCATCTTGGATTTCAACAATGAAAGATTGTTATTGCAATTTCTTAAGATGAACTCAATAGATCTCTCTGAAATTTCGAATGTAGGTTTGTCTTTGTCTCTAAATGTGTAATGGTTGACAGGCGACCATCTTTGATTTGGCAGTTAAAGATTATTATTGCTTTTTCTTCAGAGGAATCTTTAAATTTTGTATAATTTATACCAAAAACAGGAGAGAAGAGAAAAGAAGGGAAAAGATCTAACCTTTAAGGAACAAATAAAGATCAAACAATGGTGGGCTCCAAGATCCCTCTGGGATCTCTTGTTAGTTATTATTGTAAGTCATTGTAGATTCTATTTTATTGCTAACACAATCTTTTATCTGTGATATCTATATTAAATCTATATAATGGAATAAAGTATATACTTACATTGACATTGTCTGTGTTGCAGCAAATCCTTTTTTGTCTTGTGCAGCCCTCAATACATATGACGTTTTCTGTGTAAACAATACTGTATTGTAATGATAAATTAGTGTATTTTAATGATAAACAACAGTTAGGAATTTATAAATAATGTTGCAGATCACTCTCACACAATCTCGGAACTCCTATTCTTTTAATTCTCTCATGACCTCTTTCTCTTACACCAGTGCTTGTTCTCCTACCATCAACATATATTCTTCTTACAACTCCCCCTCTCTGTCTCTCTCTCACCGTGTCTCGAACCATCTCCTCATACACCCTCTCCTTTTTATCTTTTCTCTCGATCTCCCCTTCCTCTTCATTACTTTCTCTCGATCACACATTTCTAAGGGAGTTGAGACCACAACTGTCGTTAAAAAGGAGTGTCCAATCAAAGGTAGTCTATCTAGATACCTGCTATGTTTGAACACACCTGTCACAGAGGAGTTTTTTTACAATTAAAGATGAAGGTTTAGTATTGGTACACCATACCACGGGATGGCCAATTATGGTTCGTGGGACCTTTTATTACACGGTGGTATGTCTTACACCTGCGTTTGATTTTTAAAAAAGAACTATTTTTCAACAAACAAATACCAAAAACACACTGCGTTTCTACGAGATGTTCACGACTCCAAAAATATGATATAATGCTATATGAACAGTTCACTGAATAGATCTTTCTCAAAGTTCTTCGTCCCAAGTTGTGCAGTTTCGATTTTGGAACTGACAAGTAAAAACGAAATTGCTAACCGGCGGCCATCTTTGATTTTGACATTGCAAGTCAGTTATCGGTATTTCCTCATAAGTGCTTGATGGATCTTCAGCAAATTTAATATGTAGTGTCCCCTCTGTCCCTAGTTGCCAACTTGAACATGTCGGTTTCTAGGTCCTAAGTTGTACGCCTTTGATTTTGGAACTAATCAGAAAAACAAAATGACTGAGAGGCGGTCATCTTGGATTATAATATGAAGTATATTTCTTGGTAAATACTGCATATAACACTCATATTTCATACGTAGGTTCATACGTTGTACCTAGTTGTGCACGTTTGATTTTTTAAGACTAACCAGTCAAAACAAAACGGCCGACATGCTGCCATCTTGGATTTGGCAGTTATAGATTAGTTTCGATATTTTTTTGAGGAATTTCACGTAATTAAAAACAAAACTGAGGAAAAAAAGAGAAAAGAAGGGAACAGATCCAAATTAAAAAAAAAAAAAAAAAGAAAAAAAAACAAAGATCAAACAATGGTGAATGCTAAGATCCTGTGGGATCTGATTTTTCTCAGGACCAGTAGTTCGTTTTTTACTATGATCAATATACGTGTATTGGAGTGCAAAGATGGACTTGAGAAGTCACTAATATGAAAAATATACCTGAAGAACTGTTTTATTTGTTGGAATAGAATATATCAGGAGAGGTCATAACGACCTTGTCAAGCTCCAAAACTCACTTTTAAATCTTATGACGATTTAGATAACAGATTATCGATCATGTTACAGTCCGAGACTTGTTTTATAATTTTCATTTAAAAATCACAATGTACACAGAAGTGACATTTGGAGATTTGGAGAGTTCGGGTGTTAATTTACGTTAATTTCTGTAGTTTTTACGTACATGTGTGAAAAGCCTAACTTCTACAGAATAAACGGCGAATAATGACGTCCATTATTTTTTCTGCAGATGTAATGCAGTCGATATAGACAATGAAATGTTTAAAATTGATTAATCTTTTACTTAATTTATTTTTCATTTTGATTTTTTTTCAGAGAGATACGTAATATGAATTATCTTTCTTGTAACGTTAAAAATCCTTCAGAGCGGTGGCCGAGATCATTTTATCATGTAGTATTTATCTATTATTTGAATAACAGTAGATAAATACAGAGTTTTAAGTTATGCTATTGTCATGTGATAAGAACTTTTATTACAGTTTTGTTGTTATTCTGCATTTTCATTTGTCACATGGTCACGTGTTTTTATTGATATTGCACTGTAAACCGGATAATTTATCATATTGCACCGCTTTGTTCTATTTTTAATAAAAAGGGAATTTCTTATTACGTCTTTTTTAACCAATCGAAAAAAAAAAAAATCTTCAGCGCCTATCATTTGTGATTGTTCACATGGAGGCAGACGGCCGGCAAGATGTCGGACGGATTTCTGTAATGCTCGCTAAACCCGGCCTCAGTCGATATTTTTTTTTGTACTCCATAACTTTTCGTATCGAACCAATAATAGTGCAATAATTGTAGTATAAATGGAAAGAAAACAAAAATTGTTTGCTTGGTTTAACAACCACTTCAGAACAGACTGGTTTGTTTCTCAGCTTTCTTAGACACACAAATCGTCACGGGATCCCAAGGACCCGACGTGACAAATGCTCCAACCGACGAACATAGCACGACTCCTTCATTTGAAATACATTTTTGTATTGAAATGGATACAGATATGGAAATTATACAATAATTAAATACGCAATGAAGAAAACACGGTTTGATGCCATGGCAAGGTCTGCCAATTTTTAAAGAAATTAGTTGAACACTAAAGAAAATGATTTACAAAAACTCTTCCAAATATTGTCAAATAAAAGTGTTGATCATGGAAAGTAATCATATCTACCACGTTTGAAAGAGATCGTTTGAAAACTTCGAGAGGAGATCTCTGGAAATATAAAGTTAGTGACGGACAGACGGACAACGCCATACCACATTCCGTTCAGTGAAAAGTTTTGATAGGGTATGAAAATGAAGGACAAACAAACATTCACAGTATGTAATCTAATGATAGAATGTTTTGTCTTTCTTTTTATAGAAATAAATTTATTAAAAAAAAAAACCGCTTTCTGACCATGTTTACAGAATTAAAAAAACCCATTAAAAACGAATATTTAGTGATGAGCGAAATGATATATACACAGTGTGTCAACTTGATATGCAAAGTGATTATTAAATTCTTCCAATTTAAATTTCGATAACTGTACTGTTGAAACAAATTGACAGATAATGAGGTGGACGACCGGACGGACTGTCAATTTTTGGAATATATTCAGACATCAGCGTTACTGTTTGTTCGCTGATAACATTGACTAATGGTACGGACTCACAAGCATGCTGTGTTACATAGTTATTCGTTTGCAGGATGTTACAGTTTTATGAAGATCAATAATATCCTCCATATGAACTAGCTTCCGAGATATTCTCCTTTTCTGGTCAATATAGGAATTTTAAAAGCTTCCTTTTATATCATGTCAATTGAACCCATTATCTATCTCGTTGTTATGTACCGAAACGCAGAAAACGGTTTTAATGTTTCTTTTCGACAAGATGATGGCCGTTTGTTGGTCTTCAATACGATAATTACCTAAAGGAAATCGACCTAAGTATGGACACATGTCACTTCAATGACGGCCATAGGTGACCACTCAGTTTATAGCCACAGATGACCCTAGTGACGGCCACACGTCACTGCTAACGGCCAAAACTGACCCTTAGTCATGGCCACACGTCACTCTGTTAATGGCTACAGATAACCCTTAGTCATGGCCACACGTCACTTTGTTAATGGCTACAGATGACCTTTATTCATGGCCACACGTCACTCAGTTAATGGCTACAGATGACCTTTATTCATGGCCACACGTCACTCTGTTAATGGCTACAGATGACCTTTATTCATGGCCACACGTCACTCTGTTAATGGCTACAGATGACCTTTATTCATGGCCACACGTCACTCAGTTAATGGCTACAGATAACCCTTAGTCATGGCCACATGTCACTCTGTTAATGGCTACAGATGACGTTTATTCATGGCCACACGTCACTCTGTTAATGGCTACAGATGACCTTTATTCATGGCCACACGTCACTCAGTTAATGGCTACAGATGACCTTTATTTATGGCCACACGTCACTCTGTTAATGGCTACAGATAACCCTTAGTCATGGCCACATGTCACTCTGTTAATGGCTACAGATGACCTTTATTCATGGCCACACGTCACTTTGTTAATGGGTACAGATGACCCTTATTCATGGCCACATGTCACTCTGTTAATGGCTACAGATAACCCTTAGTCATGGCCACACGTCACTCTGTTAATGGCTACAATTTTGGTAAAACACTTAAAAATCTTTCCATCTATGAAGGATATTTTGATTTACCACCATATCTGGAACTCAAAAACAAACTTGTTGAAAAAGAATCAATATGGCAACTTTTAGCACCGTTCCTCAGCTCCAGTTCAGAGATATTTGAGACGATTCTTGACAGGCGCACGACAGACGACTGTCAAAAAGCGATCGCAGTGGGTAACTTCTTACAGGACTGGACGGAATTTGTTCTGTAGGGTTTTACATGTGTTACCCAATTGTACATGGGAATACCACTAACCACGTGCGATATGCAATACATGTAGATGACAAGTACTTATTCAGGAGATCGTTACTGGATCGCTTATGGTCGTTATTACAGTGACTTGTGAATTTACGTAACATTAGGGCCTTGGCGTGAAAAGTGAGCATTATTTAGGTCACATGTGGTCGTTATTGAAGAGACAAGTGACCGTTATTAAGGTCACCTATGGTCATTATTGGAGAGACAAGTGACCATTACTAAGGTCACCTGTGGTCGATATTGGAGAGACAAGTGATCATTACTAAGGTCACCTGTGGTCGTTATTGGAGAGACAAGTGACCATTACTAAGATCACTTGTGGTCGTTATTTGAGAGACAAGTGACCATTACTAAGGTCACCTGTGGTCGATATTGGAGAGACAAGTGATCATTACTAAGGTCACCTGTGGTCTATATTGGAGAGACAAGTGACCATTACTAAGGTCACCTGTGGTCGTTATTGGAGTGACAAGTGACCATTACTAAGGTAACCTTCGGTGATTATTGGAGTGATAAGTGACCATTATTAGGGTCACTTGTGGTGATTATTGGAGTGACGAGTGACCATTATTA